ATCCGAATACTCCAAAATTGATGAATCCGGAAGCATTTACGAATCCGGAAAACTCTCCTCTAGTGTAAACCTAATCTGATAGTACGAATAACGCCATAGACGAGTACAAATATCACGCGGTATTTGTACTCTGGAGTACCGGTTAAACAGGTTTTCTCGCATCGCGCAAGCGAAGAATTGGATTGTAGTTAAGAAAAAAAAATATTGGTGGACATATTGAATCATATTTCCGACGACGAAGAGTCAGAATGGCTGGCAAATATAAGTCCAAGTTTATTAGATGAATCGAACGAAGAAAAACAGCTAGACGACCAGGAAATTTTTTCATTTATTGAAGAAAATAGAATCAGCGACACGACAACGCGCCGTTTCGCTTCGCATACTTCTGTCACGCACTCCCGTTAGAGCGTAAACGTAATGGAAACATGTGACTTGTTACGTGGCAACATCCTGGACAGTTAGAAGTGAGTTGTTGTAATTTTTGAAAAACGAAAACAAGAAATATATTCTTCTAGAAGCGTTAGTTACTAAGAGTTCTTTATGGTTCTTGGAGTACGGGTAACACTCCCCGTAAATAAATATCCTCGAAATTCGCCCACACTGAAATAACAGCTTGGCGTGTTGGATAATAAATACCTTATTAGACGTTTTTTTGTGTAGTATCGCTGAGCATTTTTAGGTGTTATTTTTATTTGGACTCGCCCTACGGGCTCGTCAAAATACGGCAGGACTCGTAAAAATACTCAGCGATCACTACACAACAAAACATCAGTAGTAGGAAAAAGGGGTTTCTAGCACATTTTTCAAAATACCCTGAAAAACAGGGCAATTTTGAAAACTGATTTTTTTCATTTCTTATCTCATAAAAAAACGATGTTTTTCAGGCAAAATGATTGGTGCATTTTTTTCTTTCAAAAATCAAAGCAAAATTGAAGATTTGATTCAGTGGGTTTCTGGCACATTTTCAAAATACCCTGAAAAAAAGGGCAATTTTGAAAACTGATTTTTTTCATTTTTTATCTCATTTAAAAAAAAAACCATGTTTTTCAGGCAAAATGATTGATGCATTTTTTCTCTCAAAAATCAAAGCAAAATTGAAGATTTGATTCAGAGGGTTTATGGCACATTTTTTAAAATACCCTAAAAAAACAGGGCAATTTTGAAAACTGATTTTTTTCATTTTTTATCTCATTTAAAAAAAAGAACGATGTTTTTCAGGCAAAATGATTGGCGCATTTTTTTTCTTTCAAAAATCAAAGCAAAATTGAAGAATTTTGAGATTTGATTCTCAAGACAATCTCAAAATTCGTTTGAACCATCAGAAAAAACTAATGACAATATCTCAGAAAAAAACACATAGAGGCTTATGAAGAGTTCTCTTCATCGAATTCCTTCAGGAGGTAGCTCAGTTTTAGGTGGAACAATCTGAAGCTCTTCTCTGACAAATCCTCGCTTTGGTCCATCTTTCGGATAGTAAAGAACAGGTTCTTTTTCATTCACAAGTGCTTTTTCGATATTGAAAACTTTTAGAGACCAGATTGGATCTGTTGCTCTTCTTTGTCCACCTTCTAACTCGCCGGAAGCATAGAGATATCTCACGTTTTTTGAATAGTCAAGTCTCTTTTCTTTCAAGCCAACAGGTCTTGAATAAGAAGTTGAACTCTTTGCGTCAACCACCTTTTCTTTGATTGCGTCAATTGGTTTCTTTCCAGTCAATCTTGTCTNCAGAATTTCTTGTTGGTCTGAGAACTGGAGCATTGAAATCTGCTGGAATTGGGTGATCAATAATGTTTGATGTCGCTGACGCTATCAACTCAATCAACTCCTGCTTTCTGAGGCTTGAATATTTTTTTAGCCCGAGTCGTTTTGCCTCAGCTTTTAATTCTTTAACATTCCAGTTCTACATTTTTATAAAATTTTATCTCGGTTTTTTTTCAGCTTTAGAAATTTGCTGGAATAAGATCAGTGTAGTAATTATTTAAAATCTGCTTTTCTTTTCAAAGTAAATTGTGAAACTATTCTGAGCTCCCCTCGCTCGCCTTCGCAGTGATCTTTTATTTCTTCATCTGTCAAAAGCAGAAAGAGGTCTTCATCAATATCTTTTGGAAAGCGATAAGTTTTCTTCAGTCTTATTCTATCTTCTTCTATTCTATTTTTCCAAAATTTATTTTTTATCTTGTGAATGAGATCAAAATTTATGTACATCGTAGTGAATTGATGGCCTGTTATCTTTTCACGCTCGTCTCTCAACAATTTTTGATATTCCTTTCTCGGTTCAAGATACGCAGCTTCAAGGCGCCTTTGAACGAGAATAGTTTTGCTTTTCCTGAGTCTTCTGTTAGCTTCTCTCTTTTCTTCGTCGCTAAGAAGATGATAATCATCAAGAGTCCATTCGAATGGTTTTAATAATCTTCGGCTCACTGTTTGTGTTTTTATTTTTCTTGCTGGATCTCGAAATTTTACAGAAAAAGCGGAATTCTTTGTCTGTTTCATCCATTTCTAATTCTTATCGCTTCGCTTCTCGACTTCCTGACATTTTTGTATAATATAAAAATATTTTAAAAAAATGTAAAAAATGGGAGAGAAGAAAAATTTGATTCCAATAAGCACAAAAGATCTCAGAGAAACTGCCAAAGGCTGCGGAATAAAATACAGAAACAAGATTCCAAGCAAAGAATTGAAAGAAATGCTCGGCTATTGTCCTTTGAAAAACAAACGGAAGGTTGAAGTGAGTGATGAAACCAGTTTTCGCAAAGAAGATCAATCACTAGGAGAAGCCGCAAAAGATTGTGGAATTTCGAATTCTTCTGCTATTAAATATGCACTGTATAATAAAAGAAATTTCATCAAAAGAAGATCAGACCAGAAAAAATTATTTGTGAGAGAAATTTGACATGATGAAAGATGGCGAATTTGAATAATTTCACCTGTCGAGTGTTTTTCAAAAGCCAACGCAAAGACGTCAGGGTTGTTATGGAAATCGTCCACCAATGAAAATTTGTCTGATGCATCAGACAAATTTTGTCATGTTTACATCCTCGTCGCGGAAGAAAAAATATTATTTCAAACCAGAAACAGCGGAAGAAACCAAGTTTCAATTCATGATTTTTGTCTTGAAATAAACAAGGAAAACCTACTCGGTCTTTTGTCGAATTCAACTCTCAATTCTTTGTGAGTGTAAGCAGAGAGCCCAATTTTTTTTGGTATTCTTTTTTTATTTCCTCTCAGAGAGTTGCAGTCTCTTTCTCAACTTTCTCTGGAGAATTTCGTCTGAGTTCTTTTTTCAGAGAATGATATTGATCAATTTCGCTCAGTATCGAAGCGAATTCGACATCTGTTATCGAAGAGTCTTTCAAGGCCTTTGACACGAGTCTGCTGATTGTTCGTTGCTTCGCTTCAGCAAGAGAGACGGTTTTCTCATGATTTTCAGTCTTTTTCACGAGGAATTTGTTCGCGAGAGTCGTCGCGGCAGACGCGAAAGTAAGCAAACCCGCAATGCTTGTCAAAGGCACAGAAATTATAATTCCCACACCGATCAAAGCACCTGCCTCATTTAAGAACTCTAGCCCAAAAGAAAAGGTCGAAACATTGTCTTCGTTTTCGGACTAGTAGGCCGAGTTTCTGTTTGTATCCATTATTGTCGC